GTGTCATGTTGTTCACATTAAGTGCATGAAGTGGTACCACTGGCGTGTGCTACTCATAAGATTTATCAGTAGTATACATAAATAAAGATGAATATGAAGAGTTGGTCGTTGGCATAAAACATCAATTAGCAGGGGGATAGATTGATTGGCTGTCAACCCAAGAAAGCAAATGATGAATGATGCAGTGTTGCTTGCGGAGATACATGGGAAACGTGAAAGGAACACAAAAATAACGTAACATAAGGGCCAGAAGTAGCGGACACAACACGGAAGATCTGTGCAAAAGGTGATTTGTGAAGATAAGGTGTACGTAATTCCCCCATATAGATAAAGATTCCGTATTCCAAATAAATATTCCTTTACTAAGTGTCTTATCTTCTGCCGTTACAGTACCTCTGCGTATTAACACTTTATACAAGACACCGAACTGATTTCTTCTGGGTCTTGTGTAGATATGCTGTATTGGTTCAGGCATAATTAAACATTTGGTCGATTCACTGACGGGTGGATAGGGCGAGTGCCTCTATTCATCTGCAACAATCTGAATTATTGATTATCCGTTTTTCGAATTCTCTACAAATTTCATTTCGAAATTTACTTAATTTTATCATATTATAAAATCTATTTCCTACATAAATTCTTATTTCTCATCTAAATCCTGTTAAATGTGATAAACAAATACATTTTGTTGTTTTTGTTGGAAATTTGATAGTAGACGAAAAGGTTTGGCAAAAATCGGTGAAGGGTGCTTTGGGGAAGTATTCCGATGTTGGGCCGGGAAGCGCCGAACGAAGCGCGTCGTCTTGAAGTTTATTCCAGTAGAGGGGCATATTAATTTTAATGGTGAATCTCAAAAGACTTTTGATGAAGTTCTCTCTGAAGTAATTGTAGCTAAGTACGTTTTTTTAAAATGTTAATTATTCATCTCCATTTTGGTGTGAAGAGTTCATAGTGAGTTGATTTTGTACAAGTCAGCGGCTATATTATTATTATTTGTTGCTTGCCTTCCCAGTGGAGAGTGAGCCGCCCCCCCTCCCGGGAACATCTTCATTACACTCTGCACTCTGAACACTCACTTGGCTTCAAGACTATTCACCCCAAGCTGGCATTTCCTACTCAGATTACCTTCTGTGCGTCAACCTCGGAGGCTCAACTCGTTACTTCTCGTTTGGGTCATGCTCGAGGGCCTGGGATGTGATGTATATCATTTAACAAATCTGTGGTCTACAGACCACAATGACATAGATATAAAGGTTTCATTCATCAACAAAAAGAGAAATTCATGTGGACAAAAGATCAACAAAATGATAATCAGCACCGATACAATGTCGACTAATTGTTTTTGAGAGAATTTCCAGAAGCCACCAATTACTACTTTCAAGGTGTTCCCAGGAGGGATAACTGATACAAACTCGTGGAGAATAAATTAGGAAGCTCACTTCAAATTGGAGTATATGCTCTGAAGTGTGTGTGTGTGTGTGATATTGTCTAGAAAGGCAAAGGAAGCTTCGCAAATTAAACCATCCAGTTCAAAGAACACAACTACACCAATAAGTTCTTGGCTGGTTCCTGACTATTGTAACAAGTTCTGTCGTAATTTAAGGTGTTGATATATGGAATTTGTGTATTTATTTTAAATACTTGTTTAAATTCACATTTTTATTTTGTTAAGATATTGACCCAACAATTTATTAGGTGATGTGTGTGTCGGTAGTTATTCAGTGTTAGAACGCTCGTCAACCGCGCACGTGTTCCGGGTTCGAATCTTGAAGGACACGCTCCTGAATCTTGCCTTGTTTACTAGCCGTTAGTCAGCTCGGTGGTAGAGAAGTAAATCTTCCGTCGCTTTACAGGTTTTATTCTAGGTTAGACAAGGTTTGGCAGTAGTGGGTTGGTTGGGAGTCGAAACCGGGTCACGTGTGTGGTTGTCATCAAGATTCTGTTATTAAACACACAAAATCTATGAGTAAAGCATCAGGAGCAGCATAAATCACAATGATAAATTCTGATCGTTTTTTCTCCAGTTTTCTGTGAAACAATCTACGGTTAGACCATTATCGGCATTTTATTGCCTCCCGCTAAAATGGAAATCCGTTCGTTCAATGTTCACTATTTAATTTTCGTTAACATTATTATTATTATTATTCACATCAACTATTTTACATTACTAAGTATCTCAACATATGATGTGTTTATTATTATTATTGTATTTAATTTTTTAGAGAACTAACAGCTCTTGGTATGGGCTTAACAAATTGTACTTCTGGTTTTGTAGAGTTGATAAAGTGAGAGTTCACCTTTTGATTTTACTATTCACAGTGTGATTAAGCTTGTTCCAGGTTAACTAGTGTAGCGTGTCATTATCATTAGTTTATATATTTATTCTCCTTTTTGAATTTTGAATGAAGCAAGGACAACACTTTGTGCAGAATAAAAAATAGTTTCATCATTTATTTTGTTGGTTTCTTATGTTCATTCAAACTGTGTAGTATTACAAATTTAAACACATCTGCGGGAGCCGCGTTGGTGGTCCAACGGTTAGGATGCTCGTGGTCTGAGGTTCATTCTTTGGCCGACACACTCTTTTACCATGCTAAGCCAGTAGTAATAAAGCTGGTGAAGAGAAAATGTTGAACCTGAGGCAAGCAACCGCATCCTGTAAAAAATAAACACTTTTACCAAAACTTCAATGATCTAGCTTGAAGCCCTACGCTCCACTGGGAATGTAAAGGAGCAATTACACCATTAGGAGGACAGAAAGAAGAAGGCCACACGTCCGATTTTCTGAACATCTACGAAAAGACCCATATGTCAAGGGGAAAACGCTCACAGTGGTGTCTTTGCCAGACATCTTGTGGTGCGTATCGGAAGGTGGACATCATGAAATCCTTTGAAATTATGAACAGGGATAATGGTTCAATTCTCCTCGAGTTTGCTAAGGCAATCTCGGTCAAAAGCCTGAATCCCGGACTTATGTGTTCAGCAAGAGGTTGTTAAACAGTCTTCCCTTGGCCACCTGGTAACTGGATGTCATTATTCTTTCGTTCAGTAGACTGCATTATCACTAGCTTCAACCCCCCACCAACCCCTTTGACATGATATAATTTCGCTTCGTGCTCTTTTTCAATGAATTGAGTCGAACTAAGTATATTCTTACTCAATTTATGGGTTACTCATCATCTCACTCATTTCCCGTCGTTATTACGTAACTTTTGCCGTTGTATGCATACATTTCCTTTCTTTAAACTTGAACTCCTTCTGTGTAAAAACTACATAAGTGTAATTTTTCTAAGCATTGTTGATTAAGTTTGGAGCTTTCTATCACATCGACATGAAGTAAAATTTGTAATGTGTACACAGATGATGAGAATCCAACTAAATACGCAATGATGGGATACTATCATCTTATTCTACACAAACCACTGTTATTCTTGCTTTATTTAAATAATACTGGTAACTATTATTTTAAAGATTCGTCTAACTGGTTATATTCAAAAAGTACATATTTTGTGGTGTCTTTCGTAACCTGTTTTTTTGGACGCTCTAAATAGTGTATCAAAAAACCAGCAAATGCTGTATGAAGATACGTACCATTAGATGTGGTGGTGGTGGTAGTATAAGCAGTTAGATTAGCGTCAAGTCAGAAGTTTCACTCACTTTCTTCTTTACTCATCAGTTGTATTCTCTTAGGTACACCGATTTTAAATTCGTGACTAACGGGGTACAGCAGATCGTATGTGAAGACAAATACACTCGCCGTGGATGACACTGACTAGTGCCGGTCGCGCTATATTGTGAATTGGCCATTGGCTCGAGTCACTAGTGGCTTAATGGGCCACGATCTCGCCGTATAACTGGGCTCGAACCCTGACGGCGGATGGGTACTTCTGAAGAGTCATAAACCGGGACAAAACGACTGGCTGTCCAGTTGTCGCAGCTAGTTTTCCAATAGTTCCCTAACCTATGTCAGTTCATGATGAGCTCCTGTAAACAAATTTTAAAGCCAAATAATTTGAAATCATTTCGACTACTAGTATTGTTAACCGTTGCTGCATCCCTTATATTGAACACTTCTTAAAGCTTCATGATAAAATTGTATGTATACTTGCCAATTTTGAAGTCTCTCTGAGAGTGTTCTTGCATTCTAATTGCGCTTGCTGTAGCATCAAATTGCACAAGACACCACCACAATATGTTGATTATGCAATTAGTATCTCCTATTTTCGAATTATGGGCTTTTTTGTAGGGATATTGGGATTAATTTCAACATAGATTTGGTCACAGACCATTAAAAACCCATCAAGGAATACTGGACAGCTGTTTTATTCCTATTTAAAAACTCAGCGGTGCTCTCTTGTGATCCACCGTACCAGCGTTTTAATTTGAGAACTTTTAGTTATTAGGACAACGTAGTTCACTATCGCCAAGTAATACCTTTCGCAGACCATTCACTTCACTTTGACAAGGTTGACTCTACTGTCTCCGACTTGTAATTATACAGCTTCAGGACACCTATGCAGGCTAAGCTTCCCTCGTCAGTTGAAAGACCAGGGTTTGATCGCTGCTTGAATCTCGGGTGACTACTGATGAAGAGTTCCATAGTAGAACAAAACAGCGGCCCATATAATCCTGGTATTCAATAACTTTTGACTGGTGTATAATATAGTGACGAAATCTAAATTAACGTTAAATATTAACCCCTCAAGTTGTGTTACTCCTCAAACTTTGATTTATATTGGTAAATGTCTATGTAAACACTGGGCGTGTATATTGACTGACTGACTGATCAACTGGTTTCAACATAGAACTTTACACAGAAGTGCTATAATTTGAGTTCCCACTCTCCTTTCATATATGGCACACAAAGCAAGAGAAAAGGGTAAAGGGAGGTTCAAAAGAGAGATAATAAACAGACGTGTGAGGGAAAAGTATGGTAGTAATATGAGAGAACAATGGAACTTTATTTGAATTTAACAAATCACAATGAGTGAATGCATCTGCACCAGCCACTGACAACGATTTTCTCTAATTATCACCGGTTCTTAGAATCCCAAGGTCCTTAACCAGGAAGTCTACACCTCCCTACGTGGTTGGCTTGTCGGCTTATATTAACTGTTATTCGCTCACATCAGATAATTGTCATTCTACTCAACCTGTGAGCGCCACTCAGCCAATGAATCGAGGTATATTGTAAAGCAGTGGATGACTGTGATGAGGGTATAAGTAAAAAACTTGGGCACTGTGATAGAGTTAACTCCATTATGGATAAGATTTTATTTTGATAAACCAGTATTATGCAGTAATACTAACTGATGACGTTTCCAGCGCAAACATGTATATAAATGAAGGAAAAAGTTGTGTGAGTAATATGATTATGAGCAATAGTTTGTGCTCGAAACGTGGTCATCAGTTGATATTACTGTACAACACTGTGTGATTTATCAAAATAAAATCTTATCCATAATGGAGTGTGATGAGGGTGTTTCATTTTTGCTCTAGGTACTTCTTTAAAAGTTAATACAGGTACAACTTTGGAAGGGACGATTGCAAATGTATTTGTGACCCCTGGGAGTTTGAACGTGTATCGACTGCGCTTGGAAGTCAACTATGATAACCGCTACACCACGAGGGATGGATTCCGTTTCAAAATTAATTAGGTGTATTAACAATCTATCATGTTATAACTGTTGTTTTTTTCCAGTTAAATAAACAAGCGTTCTTTTACTATTTACCCTTTCAGAGTTCACCTTCTCCAAGGGGCATTCCCTTCATGTATGAAGAAATTGTGGGAGGCATATGATAGAGTGAAGGGTTCTGAAAATGATCATCCAAGTATGAAAAAGATGCATATTTGTGTAATTTTGTTTTTAAAAAATGTATATTCATAATTTACCCTCTAACCTGATCGGCTTGTGCAGCGTATTATTATTATTTTACCCAAGGTTCCACAGCACATCCTCACCTTGTGGTGTTCTCTACTGCCTTCTTCAGCTGACTCCGCAATTGACCATAAGCTCTTATTTCCTCTTCACACGATCTCCTCCATATTACTCTCCGTCATCCTATTCGTCTCTTTCCATTCAAGTTCCACTTGAGCGATAACCTAGCTTCCTTCAGTCTCTTCATCGTCTGTGAGATCCATCTCCATTTTGGGAGCAATAAATAGGTTCTTGGTTGGTTCGTTGGCTGTTAAAGTTCCTTGTCACTTATCTTTTCTGATCGGCCATTTAACCTTTAGTATGGACCGAGGTGGGTGACTGAAGCCTGTTTTGTGACGCGCCAAGTCTCTAATTCATAAAAGAGTGTAGAACTGTGACTGACTTGACATTGACGTTTAAAATCTGAGTCTTATTTTTTTTATCCCGGCTGTGAGTGCAGAGGATTTCCCAACTGATTTCAGAGCGATAAATGTCTCACTCGCTTCTTTTATCGTGAGTGACTAGTTTAGTTTTGACATCTTCATCCCTACCTTCAATGTAGTTGAATTGAAACGATGCTGCCCTAGATATAAGTGAAACGAGGAATTGACTTCTTTCCAATGTGTACTTCCGATAGTGATTAGTGGCTTGTTATTATTGGTTGGTTAGGTAGGTAGGTATCTTCATCACCTTCACTTGAAATCCTGTCTTCACTGCCTCCTGTCTCCTCTGCTAACCTTTTGGTTCTTCAAAAGAATGGTTACTGAACAAAGAATATTCATATTATTGATGAGTTGATTATCATCAGGCTCTACAGTTATATACCTATACATTATAGTGAATGAATGAATTAGTTAGTGTTATTAACAACATGATTGTTATTTAAATAACATCACATCATTAATAATCATAGTAATACCAATGGATTACAGTTCAATAGCATCAGCATAACAATACACACTGAATGTCAGTTGAATTAGGAAAGATAATATTACAAATTCATGAATTTCTTGTCTCTACTGTAGGCCAGTCTGGGCAGTAGTAGTGGCGGCTGAATTCGCTTGTTTTGCATACAAAGCACTGGTTGTTTCATACGAATTGCAACAGCCTCAGCTATTTGGAGCATGCGGTCCTTTGATGTTTTTGGCAATTTATTTGGTAGTCGGTAGATGACGATAAAGAAGGATTCTTCAACACTGGCTTTGTGGCCTGTTTGCACCAGATGGTCTAATATCGAACTGGTATTGGTTTTCATTACACTTTTACTTAGCCATAGTGAGAGATGTTCTCGAGTGAGCACGAAAAATCAAGTTCCTCAAGCAACGGCCGATATAACTCACTCCACAAGCGCAGTTGAATTGGTAGATGCAATTTGAAGTGGCTAGCTAGTCTAGGTACTTCATCTTTCAGTCGAGGTAGTCGTGTAGAGAATAAGACGTGTATTTCTCCAGCATTAAAAGTTCTTTGAACTGATTTTCTTAATTTACTCGTAATTGCTTCACTTGGTATATCGCTCTTGAGTTGCAGTCATATATAAAAAGGCTTGTTGTTTATGGTTAGTGAGTACTCCTTTTCGGTTTTCTTTGTCGTGTGTTTCTTAATAAATTTTTTGGGATAGCTATTTTCGATGAAAGTACCATACACGATGCTTAATTCATCTTCAATTGCTTCTTCTGAGCATATACTTCTATCTCTGTGGCTGAGGTTCTGTACTAAATTTCTTTTGTACTTGAGAGGAACGAAGCTGTGAAAATGTGTGTGTATATTGTCCTGTCCAAGTACTTTTTCTTCGCAAATTTCCTTTTATGCTATCATTTGGTTTTCTTGTAAGGAGGACATCCAGGAAGGCGATTCTGTTTTGAGATTCCTCTTCACACGTGAACTTCATAGTCAAATGTGCTTCATTGAATTCAGTAATTATTGTACTCCTATCCGAATCATTATCCCAAAGAATAAAGGTGTCATCCATATACCGGCAATAAAATGAGAACTTTCTGACAAAGTTGTTCAGAGGTTCATTTTCTATGTTACTTAGAAAGAAATCAGCCAAAATGAGACCCAATGGGATGCCCATCGCCACTCGTCCACTTGCCTGTGAAGCGTAGCGTCAAATTTGAAGTTTACATTCATGGTACACCTTAATAACAAACAATTCTTTTAGGATTTCAGTACGGATGCCAATGTTTGTCGACTGGTTATCCACTTGTTCGCACATGTAGTTAAATGTTTCTACCAGAGGTACATTTGTGAATAAAGGCATCATGTCCGGAGGTATCATGGTTTTGTCTTTGATATTAATATCTTTGATTTTGTCTACGAATTCCAATACATCTTTGACGCTATATTTCACTATCTTCTCATGCTTGTAGGTTTCCTAGTTTGTTTAACGCGGTGGATGCCTTTGTTTTTGGCTTATAATTATCTTGTGTTTATTGCTTGTAGTGATGAAGTGATCAAAGCCTAGGCGGTGCATAGAAATGACAACAGTCATTTGTGTAGCGTATGCCAACAGGTTTTGTTAACTTGACATCGTGTCGTGTGGTTGAAGCATATATTACTTGTACTTTGAGAGCCTCAAAGACTCATTGCCGCCTATCGATGATTAGGAAGTTAGTGAAGTTGAATGATTGATTATGAAACAGTGACTGTCGTATTCCGATGCTTAGATACACTCGCTGCGTAACCTATTAGCATCCAGTTGTGGACCCTCTCTTAGGAGGTTGGCGTTATGTCCTGCTGAAAAATAGACAGATGTCTACTGTACTTCATGGTGTTCATTTGTTTAGTAATTGATATATTATATATATATATATATATATATGATATTGAGGTTAAGCGTCGAGCGCTAGGTAAGGAGAGGAGATCAATCGATGAGACTGTGGAGTTACACTGATTGAGGTGGTTAGGACATGTGTTACGCCTGTATCCCTAGCCATCACCTTCCTCGACAGACAGGCACTGTTAGTTGACATAAAATCAGGTTGGAAAAGAGGTGGTGGTGGTCAAACCAAAACATGGCTTCATCAGTCAGTGTAATCCACAACAGTTAGTTAAAGCCATCCAGTCACGTAGGAAGGTGTAGACTGGCTTCCTGGTTGGGATCCTCGAGACAGTTTAACCAATAAAGACAGGAGACAATTGGTGATATGGCTCAAAATTATCGTTGTCAATGTCTGGCGTAGATGCATCCACTCCTTGTGACTTATAATTTCCCATCAAACTCTGTTGATCTTCGATATTACTATTCTTTTTGCCTCATATCTCTTTTAACTGTCAGTATTTTGCATTTCTTTTTACTTTCTTCCCTTGCTTTGTCTGGCGACTTGAACTTCTGCACATCGGTGCAAAGTTCCATGTTGAAACCAGTCAGTGTGATGATATCTACCTAGAAAAGGCTTCTTTGTTCATAAATATCTTTGAGTAAATGTGCCTAATTTCGTGGTTCCGTTAGCTATCCATAACTTCCAGACATTCAACGTTGAGATGCGGCGTGCTTCACTTGTTAATTAGTTAACAGAATCATTGCATGGCCAAATAATAGTTAAGAATTTTTTCTTTTTAATTATTCTACTTGTTATTTGGTAGGTAGTTGACGAACAGTGGAGTCCAGACTGTGCTTCTGATTACATCAGCTTGATATACCTGCAGTACCCAGTGATACTGGTGATAATTCTCCCACCGGGACTTGAACCCAGCACTCATTGTTTCATACACAAAAGCGTGTTTTCCCTCAGACCACTCTGGTCATTCTTTGTGTTCGCGTTGGTGGTAGACCATTAAGGCTTCAAACTGTGAAATTTTCAATATCTATGGTATCACTGTTGTTTGTTTTACAGAATAGGGTCAATAGCTTCACGCCCAACCTTGTCTGTACGTCGGTTGGGAATCAAGCTCGAACCTCTTATTAGTCCCGTATTCAGCCCGTAAAATCTAATCATACATTCATTCTCCTTTATCAGTTGGAAAAAAAGAAATAGTGGTTTGTACAAAATAAAATGGTACAATCATTTATTTCGTTGACTCCTCATCAGCTGCTCAGTCCGAGGATATTGTTACGTTTATGTACAGAAACAATTTTAGCATACACAGAGAGTTTATTTTTAAACAAAAATCAATGTATGCATAAAGTGTTAATCAATAATAATAATAATAATAACTTTATTCCAAACAACATTAATAATAATCATACAGAATGGAATTTTTGGGCTAGAAGACGGTAGTCTCCAGAGATCAGTTTACAGAAAATCGATATGGAATTGGCAATACTTGGAGCTTAATATTTTTTTCTCCAAATAGCTATAAATGAGCACTAGTCATGACTGTGTACTATAGAGTCAGGAGAATACGCTCTATTGACAAATTAGAGGAAGACTTTCTGCTTCTCGAAAACATGTTGAAAAGTAGCGGTTACCTTCAAGCTTCATGAACAATTTACGGAGATATGAAGACTCACTAATGTCAAACAAAGTCACAGTAAAAAAATGGGCTGTCTTCATTCAACTCGCTTTTAAAAATGCCAAAAATTATTGCAATGATAGTCAACAGAAGATTGAGTACGTCACTAGCTAGAACCTATCATGGAACTAAGCCTGTTCCCGTCTATCGGACAACATGCACTTTGTTGCAGTCAAAAGTCGACAGACAGCCTTTTTGTGTTATCTCCACCTGTTTATGCAAATTAACGTGCGTGTGTGGAGGCAGTTACATTATTGGAAGAACAGAAAGAAGAAAGAAAAATCTCTGTTTTTCTTAACATCTACCGGTGCGTCGGTGGCACAGTGGTTAGGACTCTCGCCGACCAAGCACATGGTCCAAGGTTCGAACCCCTGCCGACGCACATCTGATATCTGTGGTTGGCCTGCGAAATTCGGGCTACCGATATCCATGCTGAAAATTCCATACTTGTACCAAAAATACAGTGTGGAATCAAGCTGTAATCAAAAATAAAAAAAAATAAGAAAGCCTACGTCTCAGGGGTAAAAACTCTTGCAATTGTGTCTTTACCAGACATCTCCTTGTGAAACTTGTCAGAAGGGGGACATCATGAAATCCTTTGAAATTATAAACAGACAGATTAGTTCACTTCTCCTCAAGTTTGCAAAGGCAATTTCTGTCAAGCGCCTGAAACCTCGACATATGTGTTCAACAAGAAGCAGTTATCACTCTTTCCTTGGCCATCTGGTAACTGGATATCCTTGTTCCCTCTTTCATTTGATTACGTGATCTTTGATCTTTGACCTCATGCCTTTTAATATATTGTAATTCTCCTTGCCTCTTGTTTCTATGATTTGAGTTGGGTTAAGTATGTTTTCACTCAATTTATGAGTTACTCATCATCTTTAGCCTTCCCTTCGGTTTTATTACGCAACTCCTTTACTGTTGTATGCATACATTTACTTTCTTTAAACTTGAGCTCTCTGTGTATGTGTGTCAGTATGATGGTTTCTGTACACAAACTTAAAAATGTCTTATGTCTGTAAATAGTAGCTGATGAGAACTCAACGAAATATATAAAGAAATGATGGTATACCATCATTATCTTATTCTGCACAAACGACTATTGTTTTTGCTTTGTTCGAATTCTATTCATCAAAAAACGTAAATACATTTTACAAGCTTATTAATTCACTTTTAATATACTGTATTTCACAGATTTTAATATTCTTATTTGTTCTTGCTATTTTACGTCAGACATCTTTCCTGATGACCAATTATGGGTGGTTTTAGAATCTGCATTTTGTGGTGTACCGCTTGGGGATAATATTGTAAGTTTTGTGGTATGCATTGAGACTGATCGTAGATTTCAGTGTGTGTGTGTGTGTGTGTGTACTACTTGTTTCCTATCTATTGTATCTGATTCCATTGTGACTTTTATCTGAGGGCGGTGGCAATATTACAGTTACGTTTTCTAAAAAGTAGCTGAAAGAAAACTGCTATACCCAACTAATTAGTGAGGCATTATACTCTTACTGTAACTACAGAAGACAAGGGCCTGACAACAGATCGTTTATTGAGAGACATTTGTAGATTTTTATGTACATATATTATTGTTCATTATTATTAGCAGAGGAACAGTGTCTTCTGATTGTTTGTTTTCCTGCTGAAGGTTATTTTGTCATCTCTTTGTTACCGTTTCTTAGACAGTCCAGTGATATATATATATATATATCTGCGAATCGTATCCGCCCACGCAAAGTCTGCTGTGATTGGTTGTTAAATTCGTCAAGGTTAGCCTTTGTTCTTGTTTTCTCACATAGCCCCGGATCAGGACGTGAACATTGACGTCATTCGCTGTCCACCCATTTTGGCCAGCATAAAGCTCTCACCACATTAATACTCATAAAGTATGTATCAACCCTAATGATATGATTGCTGATAATGTAATAGCATGAATACAAAAGACTCGTATTGCACTTTTCCAACACTAGCCATGCCTAGCGTAAACGTGATCTCTGCCTGGCGATAGCCAGTCTTTTGACGTGTGTACTGCTCAGAAGCTCATTGTCTCCTTTATTTGTGTCTGTAAGACATTAGACCATTAGAATTGGAATATACCTGAATATAGGGCTAGTTCACTTTGGTCGCAGAAGTTTGCTTTCTCTTACCCGTGTGTAAAGTGGTATAATAGTTTGAGGAATATTGTGGTTAGGCATTTAGTGTTAGCTAATGAAGGGAAGTCAGTCTATGTGGCTCTGATACAACACATTGATTGAGATAAGCAAGGACATGTGTTGCGCATCCTGAGCCACTGTCCTCCTTGTTGATCAATGATCAGTGACCTAGAACCAGATGTGGCAGAGTTAGGCGGGGTCTATGGGTTCTTGACTTGAGAATCCCGCCCCACGTACAACTGCTGTATGGGTCTCCACAAAATAAGTGTGACTTATAGCCCTGTACAAGGTGATTGACACCTAACTTACCATTGTGTTCTGAATGTTACTCAATAAATAACTTCCTATAGTGCTACATACTTTATCATCAGTTGTCAGCATGTCTAGTATGTATAGAATTATGCCTCATCATGAATTTTCTCTTGAATCGCTGCACTTTTTGAAGTAAGATTCACTAACATACTGTCGGTGAATCTGATGCTCGCTGGTAACAGGCTACAGGATGAGGTTGTCTGGAGGTTCGGTAAAAAAGTGTGACCAGTTGGGACCACTAGGTCGGGAGTAAGGACAAACACTCTCCTGTGGCATTGGCTGGCGGTTGCGCTGTATATAGCGCCAACTGCTAGAAGTTAGAATTCTTGGGCTGGGGATTGAGGTGAATCGTCCTAATGGATGGATAGTCTACGAGCTTGTTTTGTAGCCGTAGGGTCCCAGATTCAAACTTCGCACTGTGGGGGAGCGTGCTGATAAAGAGTCCGGAACCAGTACTCTCTGATGGTTTCCAATGCTTCTCTAATTGATATCAACCCGCGGTCAATCCCTGCAGACTAACCCTTGAAAATCATTTTCTACTGGTTTGCAGTTTCAACTGATGGAAGCACTACAAATTTCTTCTCGGAGTTTTTGAGATTTGTGTGTATAATGTATGTTCTGTGGAGCTCTGATTTGTGGTCTAGACACCAGGCTCCTTCAACCGCTGGATTAAGAGTTGATTTTCGTTTCCATTCAACAATGTTTGGACAACCGAGAGGTATGTATCCCTAATCCTTACGCAGTAGATATGTGGCTCACTACTAACTGCATGGAATTGTGCAAATGGCTGTTGAGTAGTAGTAATGTATGTTCTCACCAAGAGTATAAGCGCTACAGAGGGAGTTACGTCTGACGATAAAGATTCCTAAAGGTTTAACATTTTTCCCCCTCCTTTGTGTTTCGAGTACAACATATGACTACAGACTTTAAGATATGAAGTGTCAGTAGTAGTGTTTGCTGTTAACTGGATTTGAGCGGAGGGGGTAGGCTTGCTATCCTCATGCCCAACTTTTTCTCTTCATCTGGCTTATTACTTTAAGGCGTATTAGTATAACAAAAACAAACTTGGCGCATTAACGACATAAAGAGATGCATCACACAAAATCTCGTCTGCCCTGATGATCAGATCGAAGCGGAGATAGTTATCTTAAGTAACTAACCTTTCCACCTGCCTTTGACATGATAATTCTGATCCATAAGGCAGGGGAGAAGTGTCATCGAGTACATTCCCATGCTTTCCGGTGATTCAGTAAGGTTCACATGTTACCCACATACACCATAGGTTTCGAATGAGGATTTCCCAGTTTCCACCAGTTCGGTTCTACACGCCAAAACTTTTGAATTCACCTTTTCAGTTTTGTGAGGAACATCCCTGCGTTGTAAAGGCTTAGTAATAAATATGATTTATCTGACAGTGGCTATGAACGGTTGTCGCCATATGATGGGAGTATTTCGAAAGAAAGACCGGAGTCTACCCATCCACCTAGTGCCATTGTTGGACGTTCACGGGGTCATCAGTCAAGCTAAGTTTAGGAGAAATTATATATATATATATATACTTATATATATATATATATATTTGTATAATTTTTATTTCTGTTTTTCTTTCTTCTCTATAAAAGCCTTCTTGTCCTTGTGCAAGACTTTCGCTTCTCCTGCAAGTCGGATTTTCCCTTGCAGTAGCTGAGCAGGAAATGAATTTCGAACACAGAGATCTTCACTTGGGGAATGTCTTGGTCAAGGAAAGTCCTGTGTCTCGTGCTAGGAATCCTTCTTTATCCTCTAAAACATCATCATCTTCTTCTTACCCTTTTCCATCCGGCTCCGTCTCGTCATCGTCCACATCTCCAAAAAGTTACTGTAAGTATTGTTTTCATTTGGAAGGGGTGGAGGAAGAATCTAATAAAGAAAATAAAGAACATTTCATTATTGAAAAAGTCAACAATTACGAATATGTGGAATTTCGTCTGAATAATCAGATGATCAGAGTTCCCAAATGTGGTGTCACGGCTTATCTTATAGACTTTACTTTGTCCCGTTTAGAACAAGGTAAGTAGTCGGGTGGGGAATTATTTTACACACTGTTTGTTTTCTCAAAGTTTCTTTTCACTCTCATATACTATAACTACTACATACTGAATGATGTATATATATATATATATATAAATATATATATATATATATATATATATATATATATATATATTGGGGTTTCAGATCACCGAAAATATCCATTGAGTTATGAAGAAAATTAAAAGACGAATTCAACGAAGAGAATTTTCTTTATCGACGAAATCATCTTCAGAGGCTGGCTGTACAGTCGTATTTGTATTTACCAAAATATATATAGTAGTCTATTATTGAGTGATAGGACGGATGATATAATTGATATAATTACTCAGAAGTGGCTTTAGAAGTAAAAAATAAAAGTTGTAAATTACGTGGTACTCAACGGCGCAAAGTTAGAAATTTGGTAAGATGAAAATTGCTATTGGGTGCCAATAAAAGTATTGAGTGAAATGTACAAAAGGAACATATGGGAGTGATAACAGTGAATTAACTATGAAACTAAAAGTAAAATTGGAAAAAGAAAAAAATTTTTTTACAGGGAACGATTAGAGGAGGTTAAGACCATGGTAGAATAAGTGACTGGACTAACCTTTTCTGTCTACAGAGTCTGGGGTTGTATTGATGAATTACCATCGCCTTAGCCATACACAAAAGCCGAAACCTGATACCCTTTGTACCGTTTGCCTCACCCTGTAGATAATCTTGAAAGACTACTCTGGTGGAATTACGTGGCTTGAGTTCACTGAATGGTCGAGAATTAAGCTGGGAATTGTCCTGCATTGTCCTTTGGCTAACCATGCCGGATAATGTTCTGAGGTGCGTTTGGAGAGTGTACGCTTTGTGGGGTCAATATAACTAGCTCCACAGGCGCAGGTGAATGTATGAACACACACTGAAGTGGCTCAAAGCGGAAGTTTATCCTTCGCGCATCCGAAGATCATTTGTCGGCTGTGGAAATTGATACGTAGCTCAGCCATGAAGAATGCTTTCCTCAGTGATATGCATAGGCGATTCTTCAGGATCTCAGTTGCGGTACCACCTTTAAATTCAACGCTCATAAATAGCAGTTTCTTCGGCACCGTCTGGGTTTTTCAGGCTTTTTCTTTAACTTCATAGTTTTCTCGATAAATCTTGGAGGATATCCATTCTCTATGGGGACTTGTCTGAGTCCCTCCAGTTCCCCTGTTGTTAAATTGACACTCAGTTACTATTATTCTCACTCAATAAGAATTTTTATCTTACCAAATTTCTAACTTTGCGCCGTTGAGTACCACGTAATTTACAACTTTTATTTTTTACTTCTAAAGCCACTTCTGAGTAATTATATCAATTATATCATCCGTCCTATCACTCAATAATAGACTACTATATATATTTTGGTAAATATAAATACGACTGTACAGCCAGCCTCTGAAGATGATTTCGTCGATAAAGAAAATTCTCTTCGTTTAATCCGTCTTTTATTTTCTTCATACTGGGGTTTGACTAAGCGATTCATAGTTTGCTAGTCGACCGGTAGCACAGTGGTTAGGACTCTCGCCGACCATGCACATGGTACGAGGTTCGATCCCCTGCCGACGCACACCTGATATCTATGGTCGGCCTACAAAATCTGGGCTACCGATATCCATGCTGAAAGTTCCATACTTGTACCAAAAATACAGTGTGGAATCAAAAATAAAAAAATACAATAGAGGCCATGATGCAATCAGCGACCGCTGTTGCAACCGTGCATCATTGGTTGCTCGTTTACTATGCACTCACTTGGTCTGTGGCGGGGAGAGGGGGTTTCTACTTCCGACGCCCCTGGTGCACACTCCTTAACCTCTCTCAACGGGTAGTAAGGAATCCCGATATAGCGGGGTGAGTTGAAGTGCGTGGGATAAAATCAGGAGAAAACACCCACACTTTGTTTTAGGATACATGTTATCTACATGTTTGGTGTGCGGCTGCAGACAACACATGATAATGTTAGTCTGAGTTTCAAAAGAAAGCCCCATATCGGTGCAATAGATGGTTAAGTTAAAAGTCAGTAACCTGGAACACATTTTGTCGACCAAAGGACGTGTATTGCTCAACAGTTTGCTCCGTGATCCCTCATCGCTGTTTAGTAGTAGTGAGACATAATAATAATGGTAAAGCTTTATCTAAGACAGTATGCGAATATACGGTACAAAAATTTTCAGCGTATTCAGTTCCAAAGTACTTTAATCTTCACACAGGATTCGCATGCAAAGTAATAATCTGAAGTGTATCTTCATTTTGTTGAAGAATTGTACAGCGTTTAATTGGGAGCGAGTTAAATCACCGTGCAAGTTTATGTATAGGTCATTTGATATAACTGGACGATTAAAACAATGATAAATCCTGATGAAATTAAGCACTTTGGAGGGAAGTAATCTCGGTAGCCCAATGATTTAAGCAGGCCACCAATGTAAGTAAAGGATATGAAAAGACTAACGGTCTTTGACTGGTTATAGGCGTTTACTTCTTATCTCCTATTTTAGGTGGTACGGTAGGTTGAGTAGTAATAAACGTAGGGCCTAGAGTGTTAGGTAAGGAGGGGGTGGTGAGTGAATCGATGAGGTTGCTAGATTCTACATCTGTCGACATGATTAAGTCATATATTACGCATGTCTAGCCATCGGCTTCCTCGATAGGTAATGTTATCCGACTCATGTTATAGATGGTGAAGCCAAAACCTGGAATAAAAGCATGAAGTCTTAGCCAGTCCCGTAGGGAGTGGGGGAAGTGTAGGTAACCTGGTTGAGAGGTGTTCACAGGATCCTATGAACCAATAAAGACTGGAGATAATTGGTTATATGATTCGAAATTGTTCTCAAAAATGGCGCACAGATGCATTCACTCTCTGTGATCGGCTATATCCATTTAGACCATCATGTTTTTACATGTTACTGTTCTTTCTCTTGTTCATACTTCTGCTTATTACAGTTCTTTTGAATCTGTTTTCTCCAATTTCGTCTTCCTTTGTGTGGTACATGAAAGGAGTGTGGCAACCCCAACTGGTGTACTTCAGTGCAATTTCTATGTCGGAATTATCACTGTAAGCGAAGTACGTAGGTTCAAGGTGATGAAAAACATGATTTTTCGATTACTTAAATAGCGTAAATATTCATTCAGACATCTATAAAACACAAAATAATTGGGAAGTAGGGAATATCCCACAATTATATGAACGTATATTTATATATATTTTTTATTTAGAATATTCTGGAATAGTAGTCAATAACAAAATTGGTGTTTTTTTTAATAATATAGGTTTGTTAATTAAGATCACAATAGGATTACAGACAGTTCACGAAAGATGCATAAATAATAATAATAATGATAGTAAAAATATAATAGAAAATAGAATATCAAACAAAATTAAGGAAATTTCTACAACAAAATATTGAGGATCATTCGAACCTAGATGTCCAAAAGTTGAGGACAATGTCTGAACCAGATTCTTTTGGATACATAAATTAGGCTTCTTAATGTGGATTCCAACAGCCAGTTTCAGCATTGTGTAGTAGACGAACTCTTAAGGCGAAGATAAGATTTGTTTGTATGCGGTAAATGACTTTGAAAGCTTCCTCGTTGATATCAATCTTGTGTTGTGTATCCAAAAGATGAGATAGAATAGCGCTATGTGAATGCATTTTATTTGTCGTTTACTTAACCGACCACTCAGGGTGATATTTGGAAATTCGACGAGAGACATGCCTAATTGTGCGGCCTAAGCAGCTAACTGGTTCCACACGAGCAGGCAAACTAGTAGATACACATGGAAGAGACGAAATAGGGCAGTTTATCTTTTACTCCCCAACGCAAAACAGGGGTGGTTTCGAAGACAGCGTGATTCAGCAGTAGGAAATGCTCTTTGTACCGCCGTATTCACTAGATGTTGTGTTGGTATCTGACTAATGTTATTCCCGAGTAAGTGAATTTGTAAGAATAAGGCCTTTTCAGGAACTGTTGGTCCCTTGGACTGCCTTGTTGGTTGATTCATATTCTTATCAATAAACGTTTTCACTCAGCGACTGTTTGATATTAATAAAAATTTCTCATCAAGACATTCATCCGAGCAGATTGCTCTGTGAAGCGAGCATTTTATCAGATTGTGTTTGCATTTCAAAGGCACGAAGCTGAAAAAATGAGTATACTGACAGTCAGTTGATTAAGGTTTTGTGTATACACTTCTTCCTATTGTGCCATCTTCTTTTCTAGTCATAAGGACGTCTAGAAATGGAATATTGGAGTCATTTCCTTTCTCAATAGTAAAATTTATTGCAGGATGAACATCGTTAAATTTGTCCACGTCGGATGTTCTTTGCTTCATCCTCATTTTTCATAATCAAAAATGCGTCAGTCATCCATGTACCGACAACAGAATTCAAGTTCATCAGTTGCGTCTTTCAAAGGCCCATTTTGTAGTTTTGCAAGAAAAATGTCGGCTAGAATGGGTCCTAGTGGTGACCTGATTGCCACACCATTGATTTGTCTGTAAAGTTCGTTATTGGATAAAAAGTGAACATTCTTTGTACATTTCAAGAGATGCTGTTTTATAAAAGGAATAGGAATGCCGACATCTATTTTTCGTCTTATGAGTTTTTCGCATACAAAGTCTATTGTCTTCATAAGTGTTACATTGGTGAATAAGAGAGATACGTCAAGTGATATCATGAATTTATTGTCCACATTTAAATCTTTTATCCCCAACAAATTCCATTGGTCTTACTTAACAAATCGATATTATTTAAAAAAAACAAATATTGTTATTGACTACTATTCCGGAATATTCTATGTTTATAAGCGTATACATATATAAAAGAGGAAATTATGGAGAAGGATATCCTTTACTTAGTTATTTTGTTTGTTTTTTTACCTCAAATAGAGCAGCTTCAAGGTGTCTGGCGGTTGTTTCTCCTGATTGTTGTCCACATTGTGGCAGTTAAAATTTTTCTTGGGGTACCTGAAACAGGGAAACTATTAGTGTGACGTGGCCATAGAGTCAGTAGTACAACAACAGCATGAGGCCGGTCGATCGATCGGTCAAACACGATCTGTTTGAAATTAGTTTTTTGAGTAGCATCCATGAATAAAATCCTGTCGCCGGCTACAGACTACCACGAAGTAATTCGGGATGTACAATTTTTGGAGTCAAACTTTTTTGAAACCTTGTTCCTCCTCTCGAAAATGGTGAGAGATAGGTTGGGTGGCTTGCTGGTCATATGAGAGAAACATTCAGCTGTCGTTACATCTGTATTCACCAACAGACGCGCGCCCAATACTGTGTGAACGACTTATAGTAGAATGGAAACTGTTTTTAGCTTAATTCAATTTGATTGATCGGAGCGAAATGCTCGGCTTCAGGTTGACATGTCGACTCTTCGTGCAAATGCCTCAATGATGTCTGATGACTGAAACTGTTTCTGCTGTCTAACCAACGACTGGATCGTTGGAAAGAGCATTATGAGGAGCAGTTTAATTTGCCCACAGCCACGCTCAACCTGCTGAACATCCAACACCTCCCTGAATGGGATATAAACACAGGTCCTCCATCCCTAACTGAGGTTACTAAAGCTGTCACCAATCTGAAACTAGGCAAAGCAGCGGGACCTGATGGAGTGACTCCAGAGGTATTTAAGTACGGTGGAGACAGCTTGCTGTCTGCATTAACTGAGGTTCTAGGCAGCGTCTGGGAATCAGAAGAAGTCCCATCGGGTTGGTGTAAGTCACTGATTATCCCCATATACAAGAAGGAAGACAAGTCTTCCTGTGATAATCACACAGGGATTAGCTTGACTAATATAGTACCTTAAGTCTTAGGCTCAATAATCATGCGTAGACTGAGTGGTGCTCGGGAAGCACAAACACGAGAGAGCCAGGCAGGCTTTAGACCAGGAAGAGGGTGCATTGATCATATCTTCACCCTCCGACAGATTCTAGAACATAGGAATTCCTACCGTCGTCCAACAGTCATTATATTTCTTGACCTAAAGGCAGCATTCGACTCTGTCAATCGGGAAGTTCTCTGGAGATGCTTGGCTGTAAAGGGAATTCCAAGAAAATATATTGCACTGATTAAGGCACTCTACTCGAACTCATACAGCCAGGTGAGGACTTACAGCGAGTTGTCATCTGAACTGATGACGACCAGGGGTGTCCGTCAAGGATGCCCATTATCTCCTTTTCTATTCAACTTCAACATAGATGTGTTAATGGACTTAACCCTAGGTGACTTCAGCGACTCAGGGATTGACTTGCTACCGGGGAATAATCTCGTTGACTTGGAATATGCAGACGATATAGTCCTTCTAGGCGAAGTCGCTGACGAAATGCAGAGTCTTCTAAACACCTTGAGCAGCAATCTACGAATGTTTGGCATGTGATTCGCTCCCGCCAAATGCAAGATGATGTTACAGGACTGGACTACATCGACGCCAAGTTTAAAAATAGGAAGTGAAGTGGTAGAGCACGTTGACCGCTTCACTTATTTGGGAAGTACCATCAGCCCCAACGGGCTGATCTCTGACGAAATCTCAGCACGAATACAAGGGGCTCGTTTCGCATTTGTTAGTTTACGCCGACTCTGGCGTAGACGAGATGTTCGACTATTGACGAAAGGGCGGGTGTACTGCTCATCAGTCCGCTCCGTCCTCCTTTATGGTTGTGAGACCTGGCCACTGAGAGTGGAAGACATGAAAAGTTTAGCTGTCTTCGATCATAGGTGCCTGCGCTCTATTTCCCGTGTAAAGTGGCATAATAAGGTGAGCAACATTGAGGTTAGGCGTAGAGTTATAGGTAAACAGGGGAAATCAATAGACGAAGTTGTGAAGTTACAAAGACTGAGATGGTTAGGACATGTGTTACGTATGCCAAGCCATCGCCTCCCTCGACGAGCAATGTTAGCGGATGTAGGGTCAGGCTGGAAAAAAGCTAGCGGCGGTCAAACAAAAGCTTGGCACCAGTCAATGAAATCCACAACAGTTGGTCTAAGCCACGTAGGAAGGTGTAGCCTTACAGGTTGGGGTCCTCGGGACGGTAAAACTCTATGGTCGGAAACAATTGGTGACATGGCTCAAAACCGTTCTCAGTGGCGCAGATGCATCCACTCCTTGTGACTTATGATCTCCAATGAAACTATTTTGTATTTCTTTATTACTCCTTTGTCTCACACCTCGGCTCACTGTTTCTATTATGCTTTTCTTGTACTTTCTTCTCTTGCTTCGCGTGCTACACGGAATGTGGCGACTTGAACTTCCTCACATTTGTGCAAAGTTCTATGTCGAAAACAGACAGACAGACAATGCGGCATGCAAGAATTTTCAGCAATATAACTTCCGTCTTGTGGAACCCGTTTGGGGTCATTGAGCTATGTACAATCGCATTTATATTTAATTATTTGTGTGTGTACATGAGGTTTGTCAAGTTTAGATAATTGATCAGGTAATAAAAGAATGATCTAATAAAGAAACATAGTTAATTGGACAGCAATTAAAGTAAGATTAAGTTAGTAAGTTAGATGACGTAATATTATTGACTAAAATGTTTCAACTTAGGTCAGGGTAGCAACAGAGGTAATTACAGGTAGAGACTAAGTAGAAGTGGGGTAGATAATAATGCCATTTAAATTAGAACTGAAGTTGAGCAATTAAGTTGGATGACGTAACATAAGTGACTACATATCACCCACCTTCATTTATCGCAAACTATTTATTCTTCGTTACCCTTTATATCAGTGTGCATGCCGCATATATATATATATGCGTTCAGAGTGTCCGAAATGCGTTGTGTATATTACCTGTGTTTGAGATCAGTTCAAGTTTTTGTTATTATCTGACATGAGTTAAAGGACCATTGGAAAACCTGGGAGTACTGGACTACTGTTTCGTCCTAGTCTGTGACTCTTCAGTAGTACGCACCCACCGGGGTTCGAACCCAGAACCTTCTTAAACATTTTCATTAAAGACTACTACAAGTACTACTACACTGTATTACCGAATAGACTAATATTCAAAAAAATGATTGTGGAACTCTTCATTCAAATCGTGATCAGAGTTCATATTAGTTTGGTTTATTTTGTTTTTCATGACTGAACGACGAGGACTCTCAAGACTACAAGATGTTTCTACCTAATTTTGTATTTATGACTGTCTGAGTGTGTGAAGTTACATTTGGCTGAGAGATGGTTAGGACATGCGTTACGCATGCCTAGACATCACCTTCCTCCCCGAAGGAAAATGTTGGTTAACATAAGATCATTGTTGCAAAAGAGTTAGTGGTGTTCGGACCGAAATTTGAAGTCGGTCTACGAGAATCTTGAGAGTTGGAGGCAGTCAAGTAGGGAGGTGTGTAGGCTTCCTGGTTGGGCATTGTTATAGCTGACTCACATAGGATGGATCAGGTTGGAAAAGATTAAGGGAGTGGTGGTGGTCAAACTAAAACATGGCTTCATCAGTCAGTGTAATCCACAACAGTTAGTTAAAGCCATCCAGTCACGTAGGAAGGTGTAGACTGGCTTCCTGGTTGGGATCCTCGAGACAGTTTAACTAATAAAGACAGGAGACAATTGGTGATATGGCTCAAAATTATCGTTGTCAATGTCTGGCGTAGATGCATCCACTCCTTGTGACTTATAATTTCCATCAAACTCTGTTGATCTTCGATATTACTATTCTTTTTGCCTCATATCTCTTTTAACTGTCACTATTTTGCATTTCTTTTTACTTTCTTCCCTTGCTTTGTCTGGCGACTTGAACTTCTGCACATCGGTGCAAAGTTCTATGTTGAAACCAGTCAGTCAGTCCTCAGGATTGTAATAATACCAATGAAGACTGGAGACAATTGGTGGTGGTGGTGATATGGCTCGATAATTGACATAGACACATTCACCACTTCTCGTGACTTGTTATATCGTTTTAAACCATCATGTTCTTTCGTGCATTTCTGCTTATAATGGTTGTTTTGAATATAGATTTTTGTCCGTTTTGTCTTATTTTGTGTACTACATGGGAGTGTGCTGTGGCAACTTGAACTGCCCTACTTCTTTGGAAGTTTCTATTTTGAAACCAAGTCAATTAGACGCTTTTACATTCAATTTTTGTAGACAACTGTTCATTCCAAGTTTTATTTATCGAAATTTATTCATTCCGATTTTATACCCACCTTCAATCCATTTTGTTGTATGATATGTTTCCCCTTTAATTGTAGATGGTGGTTTTGTCTATGTTGACTTAAGTAGTGACACTACTTTGTTTCAGTCCAAAGGTGATTATCAATTCGACATATATCGTCGTATGAAATCACATAATCGGTAAGTATACATAAAATGATATACTTTTTTGTGTTCAAGTAAATCATCTTTAAATATTCCCATTTATAATATTATAACTAGACATATAAGCGAACAATATTGTTATTTCCAATTAGATCTACTTCAGGCTTTACTCTGATTTACATAGACTTATATAAAAAATTTTAACCAATGACAGTGATTTTGTGGATCAAATAATAATAATGTGGTAAATGTTTTGAACGTCGTTAATAACGATGATTATAATGATAAAATATTGATTATAAGGCTAATATAGGTGATAAGAATAACAAAGTTAGTATATGCATATATGTAGACAATTCAATAAATAAATAAATTAGGTCAAATCAAATGGAACGATAATCAGAGTTTAAATAAATATCATAGAAGTACGAAGGAGATGGATGATAAGAAAGGGTGGGAGGGTTTTGAATAGAATGCATCTAGGCCAAGGGAGAGGTAGAACAAACTTTTTTGTATACAAAGACACTAGGATTGTTCTCTCGAATTCCCATAGCTTCGGCTAAGTGTAAAAAACGGGTTCTGATTCCGTTCGAATGACTCGATGGAATGCGGTGAATAACTTTGAAGGTACTATTTTTGTCCACTTGGTGACCGCTATCAATCGAATGAGCCAAGATAGGACTTCGTATGGATTTTATTTGACCTTTTCCGAACCATAAGGGAGGATGCTCATTAATGCGTTTGTTAAGCTGTCTGGTTATTCGGCCTATATAGCCAGCTTTCTCCACAGGAAGTGGCACAGCTAGCTAGGTAGCCTATCCTTCACTTGAGCAATCAAAACTGGTCGGCTGGAAAATGACAAACAGAGGGTGGCGGCAGTATAAGTCCGTTTTATCGCTCTCGATGATCTCTGATGTAAGACTTCACTAGCCACGTCCCCATTAAATTGGAGTTTCATGAACAGTTGTTTCTTTTCAACTGTTGTCGGTTTTTCTTTATTTTACTTGGTGTTCATGTGTCTTCATACAAATCTACTAGGATAACCCATTTGGACTAACGTATTTTGGATGTATCCTAACTCATTCTCTAGCAAGTCATCTGTACAGATGCGTCTTGCTTTATTCGTTAGGCATCTGACCAAATTGATTTTGTATCGGATTGGTACATAACTGAGGAAATGTGTATATTGTCCTACAGACGTAGGTTTTCTATAGACATCTCTCCTGAGTGAAACATCCTCTCTTCTGCTCAATTGGACGTCAAAGAAGACTTTTGCCTGACAAGGTTTTTCTTTAACTGATGTCAGCTAGCTTGTGATTGTACTTGTAACCAGTCGGATCCCCTGCATACACTAACACTTGATAAAATCTTTCTCCTCTCCCATAGAAATGATTGGAAGAAGTTTTCGCCGAAAACCAATGTTATGTGGTTTCACTTTTTGACGACAAAACTATGCTGTGATTCGCCCGAACTAGCCTCATCATCTGCTGCATCCACCTGCATCGAACGTCATGCTATTTGTTGTGAACAGCTGAAAGACTTAGAGTTGAGCACACGGAGATTCAAATACAAATCCGCATTCGACTTGGTGACAACACACAAATTGTTTAAAAACTGTCGGTATTTTTTCAGTGATAAGTAACTTCTCCAAACGTGGTTGTGAATGTGTGTGTGTGTGTTACCCTTTCACATTTTGAATTGTGCTCCTTCATTTTTTTCCTTCAGTCTTTCATTTGTCTTCCTGCCTTTTTTTTGTTTTCTGTGCCTTCTGATTTTTTTGTACTTAAGTAACACTATTACTTTTTTCTATTGTTTTTATTTTGTTGATTGAGATAGAAATTAGATATATGTATATATTTTCTAGCAAAAATGTCTGTTAGTTGATGTTTATTCGGTTGAAATATAGGCATTTGTTGTGAATTGTTGCTTGTGTTATGTTATATATAATGCATCCAACCTGTGTTTAAGAAGGCTAGTGGCGCGCAACTACACCACCAGTGTGATTGATTGACTGGAACTGTCATCAGATGGCTTGAAGCATTGGAAGGAAGCTAAGAGTTACCGGAGTGTTTTTTTTCGTATCAGTTTGGGACTTTTTGGCAATACGCGCATCCGTGTCCCCAATCGGCGGTCGGAATCAGGATTTGTAGTTTATATGGGTGATTCGTTGACCACTTAGCCACTGGGATAAGGTCTGATAGCTTATCGTCTTATAACCGTAAAGTTCATTGAAATGGACCTCGATGAGGTCCAGTTCTCCCAGCTGTTTCTTTCATCTGTTCTCTAACTGATCTCGGTCAGTTCGTGATCTTACTTCAAATCCTTGCAAACGAACTCTTAAAAGGTAGTTAGTTGTAGCTGCTAAACATATGGGAACGGCATATATACAAAATAAATTTCAGAGAGTCGGGATTGAAGACAAATTGTTAGTAGTCGCGCTAAAATTTCAAATCAGTAAAACTGTTGAAACTCACGAATCATTGAGCTGGGTCCCGGCGGCTGAATGAATGCTTTACGAGGATATCTTTTAACCGGAAGATCCGGGGTTCGAGCCCCACAGTGTGGATGATGATGAGCCTCAACCTAGAAGTAAACAGCTCTCCAGTAGTCCTACTTGGTCTCTCAATGGTTCTCTAACTGATGCCAGTCTGCCGTCAAGAAAATAAGACAATCAATACTTGGTGATAAATACTACAGTGATTGTCGAATACAAAATAACACTCTTCATTTTTAATTGACACTGCAGTCGTACAGGAATATATACTTTGCAATATTGTCTTTCATGTTTGGTCACTAGGTACTCTGACTCTGAAGTTCTTAATAAATAAGCTAGTTGATTAATGACATGCTTGGATCAACTTATGATGGATGTTGAACCCTTTGGAATTATTGTTAACTCATCTTTCAACCTTTTCCAAATGCACTTAGTTGAGACGCATAGATTTCTATCGAAATAACATTGTTAACTGCCTTGTTCATCTCTTGTCACTCTCATGAACTGCTCCTGGGGTATGATCAGACTACTGATAATAAATATTTTATTAGAGACCTGGCTTCAAGGTATTCACTCCATACATATGCTTTTACTGCGGTTGTTCTGCTCGAAAATTCAGCCTGTGAAATTTTTCAGTTAGCCTACTTTCTTTTTATGTAAATTGTCAGATTGTGGCCCCGTATATACTGCGATGGACATAACATCCATGGTGATATCTCACGTGGTTTCGTGCTCTTTTCGACAAATGTGTAGCTCTCTACTTTCTCTGCAGTCGAACGGTTGCTGTAATTACCTTGTCTACCGTAGAACACTTCTTTTCCACAAGTTTCGCAGTACAACTAGCTGGCATACTCTCTACAACTGTGTTTGTTTGCTTTTGAGCGTTACTTGTATCTCGTTATCATCATCACTAGCATCTGTGAAAATTATCATGGACATTTAACAAAAATTTTGTGTCATCGGTCGATCATCTAAAAGTTCCATAATCTGATCGCTTGTCTACTGTACCTCTTCGATCCAAGTAAACGTAGTGTGTTACGTAACAACCTACAACTCAAGGTCTCTAGTGTCTCCTTGGAGGTTTCCACAAACATCTATTCTCAAATGTGTCTGTGGGGAAATAATAGTTGAGTGGAGATTTGCATGATCAGGAAGATGGTTGGCTACTGGGGGTGGGTGGTGAATATATCCTCCACGGCAATAAATTCAGTTTATATTTTCGAGAGACTTCGACAAAACAATAAGAACTCGTCAGTTACCTGGAAAGTGTGTAGTGTTTTTGCGCAACAAATTTCGGACATGTAGAAATTACATTTGTAAAATCTCAGCGGGGTTGAAATAAGTAATTCCAACGTTCCGTTCGGCGAACTGGGGCCCATAATAATTTCGACTAGTTTCCCTGAAGAAGTTCGGACCAGTTACTTATTTCAATTTCTCTGAGATTTTTACAAATAGAACTTTCACATATGCCTACTTTTCACTTGATCCCAGTTCGTGAGAAATTTCAGACATTCTGTTCACATACGCATTTTTGGCATTTTGGCGGCCTGTTTGACACCTGGGCTACCTTTTCGTGCATCTACATATTGCATCTAATACATCATGTTTTCATTCTTAATTTTAATAAAATGTGATCACGAATCGTATAAAATACAGTAGTTCATCCACTAAACATTTAAAACCATATGACTTTCATGCATCTAATAAAACTAAGACCTTATTGATTGTATAACAGTTAAATGCCGTCCGAAATACTTATCCAAGTTTAAATACGTCTTCATCTCAAACATTTATGTTACTCCTGGCTGTTCTGCCTCGGATCTATCGGATTTTGCTGACGAATCCACTGAATTCGCCGTTACACATCTTGAAAACTCTTTATCAGTTGTCACTGGAGATTTCAATTGCTGTGATTGTTCTTTCCTTGTATCATTAGGTCATGTCAATATTGTTAAATTTCCTACTCGACTTGATAAACTCTGGATCTAGTGTTTAATAATGATGAGGAAATATATGAATCACGGAGACGAGCTCCTATAATGAACTCGGGTCATTGTATTATCCGGATATTACCTAAGATATACAGCAGATCTCACTTTAATATCTTCTCAAATCTGTCCAGGGAAACACAGCAAAGGTGTTACTCACAGGAAAATATACTCAAACGAAGATGTATGCTAAATGACACAAACTGGGAACTTTTCAACGAACACACACTGGATGATACTATTTCCAATTTGACTGACTATCCTAAATTCTGCCTTGATATATGCTGTCCAAAACAGATACTCTCCAAAAGAATGAACTGTTTCACTTCCCCTCATCTCAAAAAGCTTCGAAGAGAAAAAGAGAAACTGTACAAGACAAAGAATAAATCTGGTCTTAGGAAGATAAACATCCAAATTAAATCTGAAATCAAGAGACTAAACAATATTTATGATCAAACAATACTCTCGTGTAAATCTTCAGAAAACATATGGAAGCTTTTCAGAGAAATTATAGGTAGTGGTAAGTATAGTAATTTTGCCTCTTCTATTGATGTAAATACTCTCAATAGATCTTTTATCCGCCCTCCAAATGTCTCTTCTGCCTTCAATTTAACTGATAACACGACCAGTGACTTTCATAATTTCAATACTTTTGATGTTCTTAAATGTTTAAAATCTCTTAAACCTTCCCAGAGTCTAGGCCCTGATGGTATACCTGCCATTGTTCTAAAGAAATGTGCTGATATTTTAAATAACCCACTTACAAGCATTTTCAATACTTCTTTTTCTAATAATGTTGTACCTTCTCTGTGGAAAGATATTAAAATCATCCCCGTACCAAAGTCTGGTTCTGGAAATAGTGTTAACCTTCCTGTCTGCCATCAGTCAGTGGTCTAAACTAAATGGCCTCATGCTGAATCCCTCAAAGTGCCAGACTACTGACTTTCCTTTAGGCATAAACGAGATCTACAAACACTAGGAAGCACTCATGAAGCCTGTAGCATTGAGGGGACTAAAATTGAAACCAAGTCTAATGCAAAATACCTCGGATTAGTTCTATCTTCCGACCTTACTTAGTCATCTCATATCCAAACGATTTCTAAGAAAGTGTTCTGTCTAACCTACTACATTAAGAAACTCAGACTAACTGGAATCACTCAACCACTGCTTTCACAATTTGTCAACTCTCGTATCTTACCTATTCTACTTTACTGCTCCCCATTGGTCTTTCCTGAGTTACTGAAAGAGGACTATACCATCCTGAGAAGGATGTTGAAGGTAGTTAGTAGGACTAGTGGTGTCGGCTCGTCACTACATTAGTAGATAAGCATCTGAATACATGCGAGAAATGGTCTAAACCATACTCTCCGACCCTCAACACCCCCTCTATTCTCAACTCTCTCCTTGCATCTCATCAGGTAGAACCAGAAATCAGTACAAAATAATATATGCTCGTAAAACCAAGTATAGGAACTCAACGATACCATATTTGGCCCGTGTTCTAGGTGACAGAGACAATGTTAAGCGTGAAACCTATGACTTGCTTTGTTGTTAATAACATAATTTTGGACTTTTTAATTCTCCCTTATTCTCTCTTATTTGTACTCTATAATGAACAACCTTCTTAATAATAGTTAGCTACCTAGAATTATTGTCATTGGCTTACTTTTTTATTCTTTATTCTATTCCTTCTTTTGTGTATCTACTGGTCCCGAATATATTAGCGCTATGAGTATCACAAAATTATCCTGCCAATAACCTTCATGTAATATTAGTTATGTGATTGTTTTTTTTTCCTTTTTTGTTCGGCAATACTAAAACTGACAATTTTGGTTGTGAACGCCGTTATCACCATCCTAAAATTTTTGTATTATGCATGATTACTCACACTACCACAACAAACACTGCACTAGTGCTGACAATAAAAATAAAAAGCCCTGAAATGTTTATTTTATGATTGTTTAGTGTAGTTCAATCAAATTAACTGATCACCTTGGCTATAAACATTCTTAAGAACATCTCATAACTTCTTGTTTGATTATAGCTGTTACTGTTCACCACACATACACATATCATAGCTTCCACTATCAAATACTGAAATATTTTTCATTATTGGTGTTTAGCTTCCTTTCTACTTGGTATTTTTATTTGCATTTTTTTGTTATTTTTGTGTTTCTTTTTGATTTTTGTTGTTGTTTTTATATATTTATTTATTTTGTAATACTCCTTTTAAATGTGCAATGAAATTAGATGCAATATTGTAGATATGTGCTGAAAATTCCACACTGTGCCACTAGTACTGTTTCTGGAATAAAAGTAAAATTATTATTATTATTATACGCACAAAGGACTATAGTATAGAGTTGATCACGGATTGATATCAGTTAGAGAACCATTGAAAACCAGGGAATACTGGACAGCTGCTGATATCAATCCGTGATCAACCCTTTAAAACATAACTAACCCTTACAAACCAAACTATAGAAAACTATAGTGTAGGTCAAGTTGTCTACAGGTCAAGGTCACGGGTGCGTAATACAGATACGACGTAAGAATATGAGGTAGGAGAAAATGGGGGTGAGCATATTTTTAAGTGAATTAAACCAAGGCAGGATCAGAGAAATGACAAATAATTTTAGAACACATCGGAGAGGCCTAAGTCTTTTTATGAATAAGGCTCCAACGAATTT